AGTGTGAAAATAAGTGCATAGAATTTTATATTTAGCTTATTAGATTTGGAAGCCTAGCTATTAAGGGAATTCTAGTATGTAGATGCTCTTAGTCAAAACAGTAATTAATTTAATTGTGGATTTTTGTCGGCTAAATTCAAGTGCTTAATCATGCTCACTTCAAACACACACAAAAGTTTCATGGCTACTTCTTCTTGCACCCCTCGTTTTTCTTTTACCTCCATTTTTTTTCTTTTTCCCATTTTACCTTCATAACAACAAACCAGATAACATAATAATATGAAAGATGGGAGATGTGATGAGAATCGAAAATCCAGTAAATCTTTTTGAGAGGTATAGTTGATGAATTTCAAAATCTAAACCCTAAAAGCGCAAAAGATTTTTAAATTCGATAAATATTAAAAGAAGATTATGAAACTAAATTTTTTTACATTTAATTGAATTTCAAATTTTGATAATCAAAAAAATTATATACATAATTTGATAAAAAAATTGTCAACGAATTTTAAAATTTGATGAAAAAAAATTAACACTTAAATTAATTTTGAAATCCCATAAAACAAAAAATTCATACATAATTCGAAAAAAAAAATCCACTTAATCGGATAAAAAATAAAATTTCACTTCTTTATCATTGTTTTCATCACGTCGCTTTTCAGTATCTTTGTGTATCATTTTCATAATGAACAATAACCCTTCTCTAGTAATTTTAATTATATGTAGCCTTTTCTTTAATGCACTGTGTTTTAACTGTCGCTTAATTTACTATAATAAATTTTGGAGCGATTCTCCCTGCACCTCACCGGCTTCGTCCTGCACCTCCAAAACATATTTTAATTCCGAGGATACCCTTCGTCCTTTCACACAAAGACAATATGCCGTATCTCAAACATCTCAAACTCAAACCCTACACCTCCCTTCCAAATCAGTTCTCATTCTTTTTCTCTCCCTCATTCTGCTATTCTTCTCTCTGCCATGTACCAGTACCTTCCATTTTTCTGGCGTCCAGGTTAGTACCTTCCTTATCTGCTTTCTTTGCTGTTCTATGCATGTGCTTGGTTGGGTGTTCGTGCGCCGAAGGTTAGTTCGTGTTCGTCGGAGAGCGTTTGTTGGAGTTGCACAAGGAAACCGCAGTTGGAAGTGCGGTCAGGGAAACCGTAGTTGGAAGTGCGGTCAGGGAAACCGCATTTCGAACTGCGGCAAAGACAAACCGCAGATTCACAAACCCACTCACCGCAGTTCGAAATGCGGCACGGAGAATCCAATTATTTTTTTGAATTATTTTTTTTCTTTTGTTAAATTTTGTTGAATTTGTTATTTTTCAATAAATTTAATTTTCATAATATATTATTTATTATGTATTTAATTTTATTTAAGTATTTTAATTTTTTATGAAATTGAAATAATTATTAAATTGTTTATTGAATTAAATAATAATTATTATCTGTGAGTTAAATATTATTTTGGATTTATTTATAATAATTTAATTATTATATATGTAGTTAAAATGCGGTTAAAAAAATGCGGTTCAAAAATAAAATCAAAAAATAAAAACCGCATTTCCGCACTTCGAAGTGCGGTTAACATAAAAACCATATAAACAANGTATACCTAAATTTTAACATGTCATTTTTAAACGATATTACGTTAATCAACTATAGTTAATTCAATGGAAAAAGTTATATTAAATTTTTTTACAAAGTAAATATTCAATTGAGTCATATGAAACTATTATTACACTTAGAAAATTAATATATATTTAAATTATTATTGAATTCAAATATTGAATAATATAAAACTATTGAATTTTCGGAATGATTGTTGATTATTTCTTTTACTTATTTTCTTAAACCAGTGTTACCATTATAAGCAAAATAAAGTATAAAACAAGATTGTAAATCTGACTCATTAACAAACTCGTATAAATTAGACTCAAAGTTGAAGAAAAGTAAAGAAATATACGAAGGTAAGAAAATGGAGTGGAATGTAAACGAATGAATTTTGAAGTAAAAAATAGTGTTAAGTTGATTTTAAATTTATACGTAAAATGTTAGGAACTGAACCTTGTTAAGATTACACAATTTGAGGTACAAAGAAATGTTGGCTTACATTTACCAAACAACATAATTAACCAGAAAATTACTAGGATGAGTTGTTGACATATCTCTTAACATGTTTGATGGAAAGTTAAATGTTAGTTTTAACTTCCTTATTAGAAAGTCCCCTTCACGCCGATGTATAAACATGGAGTGATCAGATAGCGGTCCGATAACGGGTGAGAACAAAATGCCCACTATGGGTGGTCCGATAGTGGTTCGACAACGGTTGGAATAGAAATGCCCAATAAACAAGAAATATCAATAGGATAGGCTCTAACCTAACTCTGATACCATGTTAAGAAGTGAGTTTCAAGCCTAACTCAATCTCATAAACTAGTTTGTAAGATGAAGTTTGCACCTTACTTATATATTATAATTTAATCTTATATCTAGTTGATGTGAGACTTCCAACATTCCTTTCAAATGCTTAATCAAACTTTAGTGTTTTGCTTATAAAATATTCAACACTAAAATGAACATTATTTTGACTGTCATTGTGTGGTCTTCTCTCACATTCCACTTCTGCTTGAAAATGGTAAAAATATGTTTTAATATATCTTTTTAAAATAGTGGAATCATAATGTTCAATAAGTTTATTATTTTTTATAATAATTAATTTGAAAAAGACATTAAAAACTTTTTTTTATGTATTGAGTGTGGATAGTCCACGTTCTATTGATTCTAGTAGGTTTTATGGTTTTCTCCCATTTTAAGTAGGTTTTAGACTTAGAAGAAGGGTAGGTTTTTAAGAAAAAAAAAACTTTGTTTTGTCCTTTCATCTAACCCCTTTATGTATGTTAAAATAATTTAATCAAACCTTAAAACTCTTGTATGTTTAGTTCAACCTATGCCGATAAACTTAAAGATATATCCTTTTGGTCTGTTCAACTGAACAAGAATCCAAGAATCTCAAATTTCGTTTCTCTTTATAAATCGATTGAACAGGAAATGTAACACCTTGCTAATGTTGACCATTTTTCTATTAAGTTTATGTAGGGATGATAAGGTAGTGAATATATTTAACTTTGTTACGTATGGGATTTTAAAATGATAAAGAAATATATCACACTAAAGAAAAATTATATCATCAAATATCAGAAGATATATATCTTTTTTTTCTTATCAAATCTCAAAAAAAAAATTATAAAGTTATATAATTACATAAATATTGGAATAGAATATTAAGTAACAATTGTATAAGTATAAAATAATTATAGAAAAATAAATAATTGTAAAAAAAATAAACATGCATATGCATAATAAAAAATTTACGATAATTACAAATTGATGAATACCGAACAAATTAAATTATTGAGAAAGATAATAATTATGTAGCATAGAAGACTTATTTAAGTTAAACTAAATAAAAAATAAATAAATAAGATAAAAATCTTAAGTTATAAAATAAATTAAGATTTTGCACATAATAAACTATTTTCACGTAATAAAATATAAATAATAAATAAAAATAATAAGAGAGCAAAATGACATGATAATTGTCCATACATAATTTAATTCAATAAAATTGTAATTTTTGTTTTTTAAATGTAATGTATCATCTCAACAAAATAAATTATAATTGAGACTGTGATTAAAAAATATTTAAAGTTTGAGTGAAATGAATAAAATAATTGAGAAGAAATAGAAAAATAAATAACAAAAAGAAAATGGACTCTTCAGATCAAACATAAACAAAGAAAAAAAAACAAAATAATAAGAATAATTATTTTAAATTATTTAATACATCAATTTTGTTTTGATAATTTAAAATAAAAACAAAAATACTAAAATTCACTTCAAAATTCTCCAATCAAAATATTTAATTTAAAAAATACAAAATTAAATATTAACTACTCACAACCAATTCATATAAGACATTTTGTTAAAGTCATAACAATTTTAAATTATTGTTCTGGAACGATCTTATACCATTCCTACTTTTATTATATACTTTCAAAGCCAAATTAAGAAACCTCATCTGCTAATTATGCAAATGCAAGCAATAATAGTGCGCAAATAAATTAAAAGTGTGAAAATAAGTGCATAGAATTTTATATTTAGCTTATTAGATTTGGAAGCCTAGCTATTAAGGGAATTCTAGTATGTAGATGCTCTTAGTCAAAACAGTAATTAATTTAATTGTGGATTTTTGTCGGCTAAATTCAAGTGCTTAATCATGCTCACTTCAAACACACACAAAAGTTTCATGGCTACTTCTTCTTGCACCCCTCGTTTTTCTTTTACCTCCATTTTTTTTCTTTTTCCCATTTTACCTTCATAACAACAAACCAGATAACATAATAATATGAAAGATGGGAGATGTGATGAGAATCGAAAATCCAGTAAATCTTTTTGAGAGGTATAGTTGATGAATTTCAAAATCTAAACCCTAAAAGCGCAAAAGATTTTTAAATTCGATAAATATTAAAAGAAGATTATGAAACTAAATTTTTTTACATTTAATTGAATTTCAAATTTTGATAATCAAAAAAATTATATACATAATTTGATAAAAAAATTGTCAACGAATTTTAAAATTTGATGAAAAAAAATTAACACTTAAATTAATTTTGAAATCCCATAAAACAAAAAATTCATACATAATTCGAAAAAAAAAATCCACTTAATCGGATAAAAAATAAAATTTCACTTCTTTATCATTGTTTTCATCACGTCGCTTTTCAGTATCTTTGTGTATCATTTTCATAATGAACAATAACCCTTCTCTAGTAATTTTAATTATATGTAGCCTTTTCTTTAATGCACTGTGTTTTAACTGTCGCTTAATTTACTATAATAAATTTTGGAGCGATTCTCCCTGCACCTCACCGGCTTCGTCCTGCACCTCCAAAACATATTTTAATTCCGAGGATACCCTTCGTCCTTTCACACAAAGACAATATGCCGTATCTCAAACATCTCAAACTCAAACCCTACACCTCCCTTCCAAATCAGTTCTCATTCTTTTTCTCTCCCTCATTCTGCTATTCTTCTCTCTGCCATGTACCAGTACCTTCCATTTTTCTGGCGTCCAGGTTAGTACCTTCCTTATCTGCTTTCTTTGCTGTTCTATGCATGTGCTTGGTTGGGTGTTCGTGCGCCGAAGGTTAGTTCGTGTTCGTCGGAGAGCGTTTGTTGGAGTTGCACAAGGAAACCGCAGTTGGAAGTGCGGTCAGGGAAACCGTAGTTGGAAGTGCGGTCAGGGAAACCGCATTTCGAACTGCGGCAAAGACAAACCGCAGATTCACAAACCCACTCACCGCAGTTCGAAATGCGGCACGGAGAATCCAATTATTTTTTTGAATTATTTTTTTTCTTTTGTTAAATTTTGTTGAATTTGTTATTTTTCAATAAATTTAATTTTCATAATATATTATTTATTATGTATTTAATTTTATTTAAGTATTTTAATTTTTTATGAAATTGAAATAATTATTAAATTGTTTATTGAATTAAATAATAATTATTATCTGTGAGTTAAATATTATTTTGGATTTATTTATAATAATTTAATTATTATATATGTAGTTAAAATGCGGTTAAAAAAATGCGGTTCAAAAATAAAATCAAAAAATAAAAACCGCATTTCCGCACTTCGAAGTGCGGTTAACATAAAAACCATATAAACAATGCACTTCAAAGTGCGGCTACAGAGAAAACGCACTTCGAAGTGCGGCCACTAGTTTCCGCACTTCGAAGTGCGGTTAGGAGATTAGACATTAATTCTTTAATTAAGTTTGACTTTTTATTAAATGAAGGGTAAAAAGGTAAAATTGGGGGTGCAGGAGGAAGGAAGTGAGGTGCAGGGAGAATCCCTCTAAATTTTGACCAACCTCATTCTTTTTCCAAAATCCAAGAATTTAACTTTTTGATGTTCAGGGAACTTCATCATCTCCTTCATGGTCTTGTTAGTATATGAACAGAGTGTAACAAACAACCATCTAATAAGGGATTCATTTCTTACAATTTCCTTTCAATAAGTTTTAGTGTACCATAATCAATGTCAATGCTAAATTTAGAAAAACAAAATGCAGTGAAAGTTTCCCTTGACTGCGTTATGTGGTGGCACTGTTGAGCTTATGGTGCTCTGAAGCGGCCCAAGGAGAAGAAACTAACCATTCGCTTAGAGAAGGTGGTGGACTGCTTCAAGTGGAGATTCATCTGTGCGGAGTCCCAGAGCAACAATCCCAACCACCACACCAACAACCACATCTCATTAAGATCCCAAAACCAGTTCTTCCACTTCACCTTCCCCAAGAAACACAAGGAAATGGTGCTAGCTGCTACTGATAGAACCCCAAACCGAACACAACTCAACTCAACCCAATCCAACCAAACCAAACTTAATTCCAACCTCACTTAAACAAATATTTAAATATTATGTCAAACATAAAGTTCATTTTTATCTTTCTTTTCTTTTCTTCGGTGAATTTATCATTTGGCGAATTTATCGTTTGATGAATTTATCATTTGATGATTTATCGTTTGGTGAATTTATCGTTTGATAAATTTATCGTTTGGTGAATTTATCATTTGGGCAATTTATCGTTTCGTGAATTTATCGTTCATTGAATCTATCGTTTAGTGAATGCTTAAATGCTTACTTCGTCCCCATGTTAAGAGGTAAATTTTTGTTTAGTACCCGGTTTTAAAAATAAAGACATTGGGTCCCTATGTTAAGAAAAATATATGAATAAGGTCCATAAAGAAAGAACAAGTTCAACAAATCATCAAAGAAAAAGTTGAACAAGAGATAGAAAAAGCTGGACAGCAGAAGAGAGAAAAGAAAAAGTGCGGCCACATCAGCATGGACTTAACGTCGTTGTTGTCAACTTAACGGACATGACCTTATTCATACATTTTTCATAACATAGGGACCCAATGTCTTCATTTTTAAAACCGGGTACTAAACAGAAATTCACCTCTTAACATGAGGACGAAGTAAACATTTAAGCCTTTAGTGAATCTATCGTTTAGTGAATTTATCGTTTTGTGAATTTATCGTATGGTGAATTTATAGTTTAGTGAATTTATCATTACGTGAATTGATCGCTCAGCGCCTTTATCGCTTACTGAACTTATCGCCTAGTAAATTTATTGCTTAGTCAATTTATCGCTTAGTTAATTTATCGTTTAGTCAATTTATCGCTTAGTGAATTTCTCGCTTAGTGAATTTATAGCTTGGTGAATTTATCGCTTGGTGAATTTGTGGCTTGGCGAATTTATCGTTTGGTGAATTTATCGTTTGGTGAATTTATCGTTTGGTGAATTTACCGTTGGGTGAATTTATCATTTCGTGAATTTATCATTTATCGAACTCATTGTTTAGTGAATTTATCGTTTAGTGAATTTATCGTTACGTGAATTTATCATTTAGTGAATATATAGTTTAATGAATTTATCGTTTAATGAATTTATCGTTTAGTGAATTTATCGTTTAGTGAATTTATCATTTAGTGAATCTTCGTTTTGTGAATCTATCGTTTAGTGAATTTAACATTTAATGAATTATTGTTTAGTGAATTTATAGTTTAGTGAATTTATCGTTTAGTGAATTAATATCGCTTAGTGAATTTAACGCTTACTGAATTTATCGCTTAGTGAATTTATCGCTTAGTGAATTTATCCCTGAGTGAAATTATCCCTTACTGAATTTATCGCTTAGTGTATTTATTGCTTAGTGAATTTACCGTTTGGTGAATTTATCGTTTTATGAGTTTATCGTTTGAATTTATCATTTGATCAATTTATCGTTTGGTGAATTTATCATCAAGTAAGTTTATCGTGTGGTGAACTTATCGTCTGGTGAATTATCGTCTGGTGAATTTATCATTTGGCGAATTATCGTCTGATGAATTTATCGTTTGGTGAATTTATCGTGTCGTGAATTATCGCTTGGTGAATTTATCGTTTGGTGAATTTATCCTTTGGTGAATTTATCCTATGGTGAATTTATCGTTTGGTGAATTTATCGTTTGATGAATTTATTGTTTGGTGAATTTGACCGCTAGGTGAATTTATAGTTTCGTGAATTTATCATTTATCGAATTTATTGTTTAGTGAATTTATCGTTTACTGAATTTATTGTTACTTGAATTTATCATTTAGTTAATATATCGTTTAATGAATTTATCGTTTAGTGAATTTATCGTTTAGTGAATCTATCGTTTTGTGAATCTATCATTTAGTGAATTTATCGTTTAATGAATTTATTGTTTAGTGAATTTATAGTTTAGTGAATTTATTGTTTAGTGAATTAATATCGCTTAGTGAATTTTTCGCTTAGTGAATTTTTCTCTTAGTGAATTTATCCCTTGGTGAAATTATCCCTTACTGAATTTATCGCTTAGTGAATTTATTGCTTAGTGAATTTATCGTTTGGTGAATTTATTATTTTATGAGTTTATCGTTCAAATTTATGATTTGATCAATTTATCGTTTGGTGAATTTATCATTAAGTAAGTTTATCGTGTGGTGAATTTATCGTCTAGTGAATTATCGTCTGGTGAATTTATCGTTTGGTGAACTTATCGTTTGGTGAATTATCGTTTGGTGAATTTATCGATGAGTGAATCATCGTCTGGTGAATTTATCGTTTGATAAATTTATCGTGTCGTGAATTATCGTTTGGTGAATTTATCGTTTGATGAACTTATCGTTTGGTGAATTACCATTTGGTGAATTTATCGTTTGGTGAATTATCGTATGGTGAATTAACCATTTGGTGAATTTATCGTTTGGTGAATTTATCGTTTGGTGAATTTATCGTTTGGTGAATTATAGTTTGGTTCGTTTGGTGAATTTATCGTGTGGTGATTTATCGTTTGTTGAATTTATCGTCTAATGAATTTATCGTTTAGTGAATTTATCGTTTAGTGAATTTAATTTTTAGCGAATTTATCGCTTAGTGAATTTATCGTTTCGTGAATATATCATTTCGTGAATTTATCGTCTAGTGAATTTATCGTTTAGTGAATTTATTCTTTAGTGAGTTTATCGTTTAGTGAATATATCGCTTAGTTAGTGAATTTATCTTTTAGTGAATTTATCGTTTAGTAAATTTATCCTTTAGTGAATTTATCTATTAGTGAATTTATCGTTTAGTGAATTTATCGTTTCGTGAATATATCTTTTCGATAATTTGTTGTTTAGTGAATATATCGTTTATTGAATATATCGTTTGGTGATTTTATCCTTTGGTCAATTTATTGTTTGATCAATTTATCGTTTGGTCAATCTATTGTCCGGTGAATTTATTGTTTGTTCAATTTATTGTCTCGTGAAGTTATCGTCGTGTGAATTATCGTGAGGTGAATTTAAAATTTATCGTTTGGAGAATATATTGTTTCTTGAATTTATCATTTAGTGAATTTATTGCTTGGTGAATTTATTGCTTAGTGAATTTATCGTTTAGTCAGTTTATCGCTTAGTGAATTTATCGCTTAGTGAATTTATCATTTGGTGAATTTATCGTTTGGTGAATTTATCGTTTGGTGAATTTATGGTTAGGTGAATTTATCGTTTGGTGATTTATTGTTTGATAAATTTATCGTTTGGTGAATTTACCATTGGGTGAATTTATCGTTTCGTGAATTTATTGCTTAGTGAATTTATCGTCAGTGAATTTATTGTTTAATTTGTTAAAATTTGTTTTCAACGTATTAACTTTTTCGTGTTTTCATACTACTCTATTTTAATCTATTAAAATTTATTTTTAAATGAAAATAACAAATTGAAGTATAGTTTTATTTCATTAAAATATTACGGAATTACTACCACTAATTTTGGCATGGTAAGAGAGTAGAACCATGTTCAACACATAGTTGAAGTAAGCGAACAATTTTTATTATAATATTAATATAATTGTTATTATAATAAAAGTATTTAATTTTGTCAAATTTGTTTATAATAAAATATACATATAATTGGTAAGTTGGAAATTGTGTTAATATTATAAAAATATAGAAAAAGTGTTAAAATATTTACATCATTATATAGTGTCTAGAATTATTATGATTATACTGTGTTTAAGGTTGTTTTATTTATCATGTATTTTGTATTAAATTTTAGAAAGAGAAGGAGAGATCCATAGTTTCAGACTCTATTACTTTTATTCGAATTATTTTTATTTTATTTTTTAATATAATTATTAAAATAATAATTATATTTTAACAATTATTAAAATATGAAAATATATTAAATAATATAAGAATTTTAAATTAAATTAAAAAATAATTTAAATTTTAAATAAAAAACAAAAGTTTTAAGAAAATTTAATCGCTATCAAATTCCAAAACATATATTAACGGATTTCATCCGATGGAATTTTCTTTTAAAATTTTCTTTTTTATTAATTTTAGTTTTTTATGTATATCGTTTTTATTATTAGTTGTCATCACCATTATTATTATATATTTAAAAATTTTATTTACAAAAATAAATACAACGTATGTGATTTGTTTCAGGAGTTTTAGTTGAGAAATAGATACTTGGAGACTTTTAAAATCATAATAAACTATTTTTATAAAAGAAGTTATATTTAATATTTTTTTATTGATTAATCATATTTTTTTTATCTTCATTATAATTTTTATTATTAATTTTATTTATTCAAATTTTTTATCTTTAAAATTTGTAATATTTTGAATGGAATCTGCCTTATAATTTTTTCTCAATTTACATATTCTATTATTAATATAATAAGAAAAAAATCGTAAGTTAAAAAAAAAAAAGAATGAATTTAGAGAAGGAACTTTCTAAAATCCATCTCCTTCAATGATTCAAATTGGAATTCGTTTTGACAAGTTGTTCCTTGAAAGATAAAAACAGAAAATTTCAACATGTGTATATTTTTTCTTTAATTTTCAGAATGGATAATAATAGACTGTAAATAAACCGAGGCTGCCCAAATACACTCTGCTCTGTGTATGGAGTTAGTCAAGGATAGAAAATACGGAGAGGCTGCTAAAGAATGGACTAGATGCAAAAACTCTTTAGATATTTAAAAAAAAAATTGTTTCAAGAAAATAATTTTAAATTACCTTTCTTTCTTTTTATTTTGGAAAATAATCAAATTATAAGGTAAAAGTACGATGTCTGCATAAATATCTATTCATGGTTCATTACCTACACTACCTACCACATATATAGTGCATCAGTTAATGGTTTATAAATCTATTTTCATTTAATTAACCGTCTCAAAATATTGAATATAATTTTTATTATAATAAAAGTATTTAATTCTGTCAAATTTGTTTATAGTAAACTATATAATTTCTGAGTTGGAAATTGTGTTAATATCATCTAAAATTAAATTTGAAGAAATTTCTTCCTAACGAATCTATTGAAAAAAAAAGATAAAAAATTAAAATTAATTTTTCCGAATAAGAGGAATAATATCATTAGGTAGAATAATTGATGATTTAATTCAACTAATAAATTATTTAATTTGAACAAAATATTTTGAAATTATAAATTTTAATAATTGATGACGCATTTACTTCCATTCAATATAATCAAAAGAGAGTTGGATTTTTCTTAAATAAACCTATCTAAAGTCTTGACATTTTCTTTTCTTTCAAAGAATTTAAATCTTGGCACATTCGCAATTGTTACTGGAAAACAGAACAGAGAAGAGAAAAGGGAAGGAAAACAGAGCAGAGAAAAGAAGAAGAAAGCTTGTGATCTTAAAAATGGGAAGAAGGGGGAATTCTACCTAAGATATTATGTGGGGCACAAGGGTAAGTTCGGCCACGAGTTTCTTGAATTCGAGTTCAGACCCGACGGCAAGCTCCGTTACGCCAACAACTCCAACTACAAAAACGACATCATGATCCGCAAGGAGGTGTACCTTACTCCCGCTGTTTTACGTGAGTGTCGCCGCATAATCGCAGAGAGCAAAATCATGAAGGAGGACGACAACATCTGGCCGGAACCCGATCGGGTGGGGCGCCAGGAGTTGGAGATTGTCATGGGGAACAACCACATTTCCTTCGCAACTTCCAAGATTGGGTCTCTCGTCGACGTTCAATCAAGTGCCGATCCGGAAGGCCTACGAATCTTTTACTTTCTTGTCCAGGTCACTCGCATGTCTCATTTTCATATCATTATATTGCTGTTGGGTTCAGTTTCTGAAATTTGGTTATAGATGTGTAAAAAAAATGCCAGCTAAATAATTTATTCCAAAAGGTGAAATATTTTTTTGAAGGTTCTGTCAAGTTTTTTTAATAGCGTGCTCTTGTGCCATTTTAGTGGCTAGCAGTAAGTCTTGATTTCAGAAAAGACTCTCTGAATAGATACATTCACATTCACGTTAGGGCATGAGGCACTGTTGTTGGGATTTCAATTTCCAAAACTAATTGTTGTACGAAATCTAAGGAAGCAATATGACTGTCTCTATTTGATATGTGCAATCTTAATACAGAAAATATGAAAGCATGTACTGTACAATGCCCAATTCATTAGGATACAATGATATCAAAAGAGATCGTGCATATCTTGCAACCCTGCTTCAAACTCATTAAGTTCTTTGATTTCTCACTTACATATAAACGAAGTGAAATTTTATGTGAAAGCAACTAAAATTTATGACTTCTATTGCTATGCTTGCTGCCCACTAAAAGTTGTATGATAAAATATCAGAGCATCAGGTTACGCTTGATGATCCACTTGTTTTTGCTTAAGCCAGAAAGCCTTTGAAATTCTAAAATAGTATATTAGAGTAACAAATTTTATCTATTCGTTATTTTATTGAGAAAAGTTATCATCATGAATCATTCTGGAATGTTGTTTTGGGTCATAGCTTGCACTTTGATTTGTGTCAATTTTACATGTTTAATTGTAGTCAAAATGAAGAACGTTTCTATTCAGCTGTGAACTTAAAGTGGTTTTAGGTTCAATCAAAAGACAACAGTGTTGTGGTTATGCTATTTGTAGTACTTTAAAGTATTAAATGGTCAACACTAACTTGCAAAGGAAGTAAAGAACTATGTCTTGTTATCATGCTAAAATTCTTTTGGTATTAAATATTGACCTTGGTTTTGAGGAAAAACTGGGTGGTACACAGTCATCTCATGGACCTCATTTTGGAAGACAGACAACCACCGCATAACCAGCACGGATTAATCATTATAAAAGACCAAATTACTCCCGTGTTTTATGAGCAACCATTGATTTGTTCTGTAGTGAGTCTATGAAAGAATTTCTTGGCATTTAGGTTATAATTAGGACTCCCAACAACATAAATACTTTCCAAGTACATTTATTGGTATCAGATTAAGCTCAAGATCCCAAATGAAAATTAAAACTGCTTAAAAACCGAATAGAAATATCAGCCTATGACGAGGGTCTATGAAAATTGGTAAGATAGTTTTATTAGTATATAACTCAATAAAAAAAAACTGAAAATAAACTGACCTTATATAAATAACTATACTTTGACCTGAAATTTCCCAGTGTAGTTAATGTCAGAATTTCAATTCCATAATTCTAGAGTCAATTTAGCTGATATTTGAAAATTCCTTTGTTCTAGGTTTTTCCGGACTATATTTCTGAATGTTTTATAGTGATGCGTGTTCTCCATGATATGTTATTATTTTTCTTAGTCCGTGATATTTAGTTTCGTGGAGGAAACTCCGGTGAATAATAGCAGCTGCTCATTAGTTCCATGAATGCTAGATTTTCCTTTTGTCAACCTGTGCCTTTGGTTTATTTTATTTTTTTATATTTACTGTTTGCAGGATTTGAAGTGTTTTGTCTTCTCTCTCATTTCTCTCCACTTCAAGATCAAGCCCATATAAGGTGTTCGAAATATTTGAGGGTGTAACCCCTGTACCAAAGTGTTGATTGGAAATGTTACATTTGGAAGTAATGCGTTTTTTTTATCAGAATTTATTGAAATGGAAAAAATATTTTTGTATTTTTGGGTCGAAATTTATACATTCTATTTGAATAAGATTTTAAAATATATTATTTTCAAATCAATTTTAACTGAAATCCATTTTTTAGAGTTCATTCAAATAATTATCTATCATATTCTTTTTTTAAAAATGGGTTTACGGCAATAAGGCCATTGAATGCAAGGGTCAATCTTATTTTACCTTTTGTGAGTCATGTTTTTTTAGATTTTCCTGCAAGCTTTGTTTTAATGCAATTACCTTATAGGTCTGCATATTTATACTTTTTTATGTACATTTTAGTATAAGTAATGAGTAATTTTTATATGACTAAGTTTCATTTAAGATTTATAATTTTATTTAAGTCCTTCTCGTATCATATTAACATACTTTAACTATATTTATAATGTGATATGAGATATGGTTGGTTCAATTCATAGATAATTAGCAGCATAGTTCTTGTGTTTAATTTAGTTAGTTAAATTCTTGAACACCTTGTGATCAATCATGTATGAATATTCGTTTGATTCAAGAGTTTATTAATATTTCTCTCGTGTGGGTGGAAAATCCCAGTATTCTTTATTTTAGTTTCTTCTTAAATGTTGTTATTTGATCTAATTATAATTTAGTTTTAGAATTAATTTAATTTCACAAAATTAGTTTTAAAACCAATATATATAAATATATATATATATATATATATATATATGTTACCTTAGTCTTATTTCTAATAAATATGTATTTTTATTTATTTTTTCTAATGCTCCTGTCCATCTCCAATATGGGGCATGGAACGTAGAAAATGTGGTATGTGACATCCCAAAATATATAGCAATGTATATATGTAGAATGCATCGATTATAATAATAGAAAGCAGTTAAGAGTACACAATAGATAGGATTAAGGAGTAAAGTTATCCAAGTCTGGCTCGGAAGTTTTAAAACTTAAGTACAAGTTCGTAATTCTCCAAAATACATGATTGAATAAAGATTCAATGGGACCTAAAGAGTGTTTCCAAAATACAGATAATGATAAAATGAAGGCTAGAAGTCTTTCAAAATAAAGAGCTATTTAAATTAAGAGCTAGTAGAAATCTTAAGCACTAGGGGCTGGGTCTTCCTCAACTTCCAAAGCTTGCTCCAAAGGTACATCATCACCTACTGCTCACATCCAAAGGATTGGATGATCATCGCAAGGGGGAAAGCAAACACATGCAACACATACAAATGCAAGGGTGAGCTAGGTCTCAAACAATCATACAATTCATTTTCAATCAATCTAGCATTTCCCAGAATATCCATACACACATAAACACCTTAGTCATCATAAACACAAGCATTTATTTCATAAAACTCATCAAGACAAGCATCCTATCATGTTAAGACTCTAGACACGTCCGGACTTGGAATGAATGTAGAGCTGGGGCGGGTTGTGCACTTGTGATGGCCCCTACTGCTTTGCAAAGCCATTGCCGAGGGGTTCCACCCGACCATACACAAGGCTAGTCCGTTACCGCGGAATAGACCTTCAGTGATAGCGCCTACCCTAGGACCTCCCACTACTCCCACCACACGCGTCAATCCTCTCTAAGTGAGAATGAAAGACCGTTGGAGTGTTAGGGATAACTCCCCATATGGAAGCCTCTCACATTCATTCAATACACTAACTGATCCCACCGAGAGATCTTAATTTCATATTCAGTCCGACCACTTTAAATCACATGATATTCCTCTTGGATCAATAATGTACCTCATAAACCACTTTGATTCACCAAACATAAACTTTCATAGTCATTCAAGTGCATTCTTACTATATTGTCTCATACCAAACCCATACACCATCATACAACATCAACCATGTCATAAAAACCACTCATACATTACATACTTTCACAAAACCATCACTTATTAACACAAATTTCTTTAGGACTTTTAATTTTCAATACTTAAGTAATTCAAACAGCTTGGAGACCCTCACCAATGGCTCCGGAAGGGTCAAAAACCCCCAGAACGACCTAAAGAACGTCCAAAACGGACATCCAGAACCCCACAAACTATCAAAAACTATCCTGGATGATTTTCCGACGACAATAATCGATTATCATATGTGATAATCGATTATTTGCGAGAGCTTTGAAGAGGATACAACTCTCTGACTAAAATAATCGATTATCAAGTGAGATAATCGATTATTCTTATCAGTTTTTGACAACAACGTGATTTTTCTGGTTTTGGTGCATCTTAGACATATCCAAATGAACAAATTAAAATTTGTAACACTAATATTGATATGAAACATGTTTATAGATGAAAGTAAAGTATTGCATTGGTCATTTGGATAGGAATTAGATGTACTAAACCAACTCAATTTCTACTCCAAAACATCTAACTCAATAACTAGAAGACCACAAACCCAATTCTAACACTTTGTACCTATTCTGACCAATTTGGTGACTCAAACAAGTCACAATCCACTTGCTAAGACTGCCCCAATAGCCCAATTATACCCAGAACTCCTAACTCTCAAATTCACTACCTCACTTCCTCCAAAATGGCCTAAAATTGACCCTAAAGACACTTGATTTCCTTTCTAACAGCACTACCACAAAATTTTCATGCCAAAACAGTTTCAACATACACAATTCCATCATTCTAAGTCATTCCAAACAGTTGATAGCCCTCAATCACCAAATTCACATAACACACACTTCCATACATGCATTTCAAGTTTAACTAGAACCAAGTTCATGCTTCCACAACATACCACTACAAATTTTATCATGCATTCACTCCACACAGTAAAATCAAGAGTAGAACTAGCTCCCCTTACCTTGGTGGTTATAAGCACAACACTTTAGAAGAAGCCCCAAAACAATAACCCTCGCACAGAAACAAGTTCAACAGGACCTACAAACCACCAAATTGGGTAGAGTACAACTCTTAGAGCTAGAATGAACAAGGAACTAAAGGGAAAAGCTACCAGCTGCATGCAACCAATAAAGTGGCATGCCCTAGATTCAAAGACAGTGGAGGAGAAGGTGGAAAACGACTTACCAGTGGGAATGAAGAAAACGTTTGGTTCAAAACGGAGCTCCCGACTCTCGGAACGCGGGGACGCCACCTAAATTACAATGTAATGGCTGGTGCAGTGTGGAGATTAGAGAGAAGGTAGAGGAAGAAGAAGAAACTTTCTAGAGAGAGGAACACTTTTAAGAAAATGAGTTCAGCTTCTTTTTCTAAAAGTTTAGCAGAAACTATAAAACTGTTTTCTTTTTAATAAAAAACCCCTCCCCTTTTTCTTAATAATGTTTTCACCCCGTCCTCTTTTAATATATACATTATATTAAAAGGTTCTTACATGATAGATGATCGTTTCAATGTACTTATCATAACAAATTCATATATTCATTATAATTGAGTTTTAATTAGAAATAAAAGTGAATATAAGAAACAAAAGTATTTACTAGAGTAATTTGCAATTATGGTGTACTAACAAAAAAAAGAAGTACATGTACGTTAATATAATACTCCTCTTTTTTAGTTGAAGTGTATCAGCAATTTAGATAATAAAAAAAACCCATGATTTGTTGATTTTAATTTAACCATTTTAGGGATACAAGGAAGTGAAATTTAATTAAATTTGAGAAGTAATATTATATAATAGTTAAAAGCAAACACGGAAGTTGTGAGTGAGTGGAATTTGTAGGAATGGGTGTGTTCATCCACCTCTGCCCACGCTCATCAATGCTTTCGAATGAAATATCGTTTGCTTGAAAGACCATCTTCTTATCATAATCTGTGACGTCTATGTTTGGGCCAGAAAACAAAATTAAATGAATAAGAATACTTACTCAGAAATGATGCTGTTGAGAAGGAGAAATAACTAATCGAATTTCACAAAAGCATGCATGTAATTTGTACAAAAGTGTTGTTTTCTCATTGTTCAGTTTTTCATTTGACATCAAAAGAGGCGTTAGGAATTTAGATCCTCATCCCCAGAAGCAACAAGAACCCACAATCTTTCACACACCCATTAAATGAATAACATGCTTACGTTATAATCTATAAATTTATGATACATAGTTTGATGAAATAGAAAAAACTGAACATTTTTTTTTTAAGTTGACAAGTCATATCATATATGAACATATATTATGGCCATATTTAAAGGTAGTGCTATTAATATATGGCATTGTTGTTTGAAATAATCAGAGTAGCACACATGGTGTGTGGAACTGTTGTCTTACACTTTAGCATCAAGATGATGCATGGTGACGGATGAACATAGTCACCATTCGACAAAGCTTTTCTGATTTGGAGTGTTGCGTGTGCATCTTTTGCTCTACGTTTTTGTAGCAATATGATACAAGTTAGTCATGATTTAGCAAGGTTACTACTACACATGAGTTCTGTCATGTATGAAAATAACTATTTCTCAGTGTTGAAATATGATTCTTACAAAATTTTAGAACCACTTCAACCTAATGCATACTGTTAAAATGTTGAACACAATCTAAACTTTGCTTAAACAAATGAAAGATAACTCTACCAATCTTAAAGCTCACTTTTTGAAACACTTAAAAAACACTCATCCAAACATATTTTTCGTAAAAGTATAATGTGAGAATGAGCTCCAAATTCCAATTATATGGTTGAGAAGAGTTGTACATAAAGTTTATCCCCTTGACCAAACTACAGTGCTGCAAAATGGATATAGAAATCTTGTTGATTGTCCATTTGACATTAAACAAATCAAATTTTGCAGAGTATAGAGTTATACAAGTATATATGTAATAAATGCATCAATTCAATTCTTGCTATGCATGGTGACTCTCCATGCTGTCACAAATGTGCATACTTTTCCACGCCTTAATTGCCATTCCACACAAACTGTATGGGATAAATGAATGAAACCCTCATACCCCTTTTATCAGTAACATAACCAACTTCCTTTTTCCCACACTATTTAAAGTCACACATTTCCCTTTTGCCAACACTTCACCACAAGGCTTAATTTTTGTTACTAGAATGGAGGGTCAGAGAAAGGGTAGTTTCAATGTAATGGAAGAGAGTGACGGCAATGGCAAAGGATGGCGTGGATCAGTAGTGAGAACTTGTGATTTGGTTTTGAGACTTTTGGCCTTTCTGCTCACTCTTGTGGCTGCTGTTGTCATTGGGGCAGATAAACAAACAGCTACTGTGCCAATCAAACTTGAGGAATCTATGCCACCTTTGTATGTTCCTGTTGCTGCTAAGTGGCATTACTTGTCTGCATTTGTGTAAGTTCTCTCATTTCTCACTTTTTTTGTCTCGTGTTTTCCTTTCTTAATCTTCATTCCAACAACGCCATTTACACTGCAGTTGGTGGATTAGAAAATGTTATTAATTGAATATTATTGCTGTTGAAATTTGAATTTGTTGATTTCTTAATGTAACACTGTATTGTTAGCATGAATGTTCTTACATGTTGATTGAAGAGGATAATACTGTTATTTTTGTTGAAGCTTGTCTGTCAAATTAATAGATAGATCAAAGTTATGTAGATAAATTAGCAGTGAATCAAATTCATTGAAGGAAACATAAAAAGAATGAATTTCTGTAAGTTATATATTCGGTCAACAAAATTCTTATTTTTAAAATATTACGAAGAATTTAAGAAAATATTGTGATTTTTTAAAATTCTAAAACTAAAAACGTGTTCTCTCTATGAATTACAGAAAAGACAGAAACACTAAAATGGAAATAAAAACAGATGGAAGAAAATTGACATTGAAGTTGATTAGTTAGGTGTTTGATACGTTAAAAACGCCCATACTGAAAGTGAATAATGTTGAAGAGATTGTTATAAAAATAATATCTAAAATGTTTGTGCCAAAGCTGTTGTGCCCATAAATAATCTTAGCAGTTTTATTTGACCTATACCATACTGCATAGAATTTTATTTTAATATCTATCACCCATCAGCAGCTACGTATGGTTATGCCAGGTATGAAGCAATAAACACAAATCCAATCCCACCAAATTTTGATTTTCTTAATAAAATTGAATTAACAATATCTTTAAACTATTATAAAAAAACTGTGGTTAGTTGTTAAATTAAATGATAAAATATTATATCCTTATACTTTATGAATGTTATTCCAATAAATATGAAAGTTATTCTTATACAAATAACATGTGAAACTTATATTATAATACACAGTTGAAATCTTTTTTATTTGGGAATCTTTCGCATGTCATTTGTTTGTTACAGTAACTTTCATAAATTTAAAAATAAAATAAATAGATTTTAAACTTAATTCAATTTTCACAAAATTAGTCTGTAAAATAAGATTATATCAATTTATATACTTTAAATTGTTTTTATTTTTAATTGATATAAAACTTTCAATACTTCTATTAAAAATATTTTTGATACAAAACTTATATTATATTTATATGAATAGGTCACAAATTCTAGCTTTGACATTCACTTAATAAATATGATAAATTTCATTTTTTTTTTATCTATCACATAATTTATTGTATTGAAATGAAATATGGGAAATGCAATAATGCAAGTTTGATGTATTAGGTACTTTGTGGGGGCAAATGCAATGGCATGTGCATATGCAACATTGTCTCTGTTGTTGAGTATTGGAAACAGGCGTAAATGGATGGAGACAGTGATCACTGTGTTGGACACGTTAATGGTGGCTTTGCTCTTCTCTAGCAATGGAGCTGCCATTGCAGTTGGCCTACTTGGCTTGCAAGGAAATTCACATGTTCATTGGAACAAAGTGTGCAATATGTTTGGCAAATTTTGTGACCAAGTTGCTGCTTCTCTTTTTATATCACTGCTTGGATCAATAACATTCCTCTTGCTGCTTCTGCTTCCTCAACTTTTCAGACTTAAACAAACAACCTAGTTAAGGTGTCTTGGGACCTTTGCTAAATCAATAAGTTTGGTTAATTACTTTATTATGTATTCCATGAGTGAGAATTAATGTTAGTGTGGTGGCATCCCAAGTCATAGATTTCATTGTACTGTGTCTTAGAAACTTATTTAAGGATGTTTGATGGGTTCGTATCATAGGTTATTAATGCATGTTAGCAAAAACCTTCTCAACTTTCTATATTTGTCATTTCAGTATATTAAAAATCCATTTTCACTTAAAGTTTTCTTTCTCTTTTAGAAGTTCTTGATGTGACAAAAAAATTAAGGGGAGGGAGCTCTCCAAGACAGGTAATTTGTGATTAAAACATTCGGAAAAAGCTATAGAAACATATTTTTATAATAATTTGTAGATGTATTCTCTTCTATTTGTTAGGATTTTTTAAAAAAAAAATGAACCTAATTTCAGTGCATGACTACGATTGAGAATGTGATCCCCAGATAATACAGACAATAAAAAGAGATGACCAAGCAAACCAGGAGTATGAGAAAGGTCAATAAACAATTTTGTTCATAAAAATAATATTTTCTTTTCAAAAGATAGTTACATTATTTTAATACTTGAAATTATAAATTTATCCAAAAGTTGATTTTAATCTTTGACTGTAGTTGCTTTGAACTATTATATTTGTATCTGCTGAGTAACTTAACAATCTTGAGGAAGTAACATAACAATCAATCAAAAGGAATGTAATGATTCATGCAATGAAGAAACCATATTGAGTTGTGCTGATTAGATTCAATAATGGCAAGAGAAGCACAATTACAACCAATATTGTGATGAATGAATTCAGTTCAGTAACACAAAAACAATCAGTGTTCCCCCACATCAATGCATCACTGGCAAGCACAATTACTAGCCCCTCGGGATGTTCAAACACATTGCCCTGTATACACATGTTTGCATCAGACCAATTAGTGGCTCATAACATTACCACTAGTCCAAGAAAATTTAGGCCACAATACATCATTAATCTTGATGATGATGATGATCATGAATCAAATTAGGCTCTACAATAATTGAGCCATAAATCAAAAGATCTGTCTCGAAAATCAAAAGAATCTAGTCATTGAGGAAGAACAGGAGGAGCTATTGCACGAGTATTGTATGAGTTGCAGTGACCACATTTATGCCCAATAATGTGGAAGTAAACTTCAGTTGTATCATTGCAGTCATTACAGAGTATCCAAACCTGCAATGGATACTGCTTAGTGTTCTAAATCTTCTGATAGAACCATGATATATATATATATATATATATAAGCATGTCTATAAAAGGTGCATTCATACTTAGAAAGCACGTTTCATGCATAATTTGTAGATTTTCACATAAAGCAATTAAATGAAGATAAATAGAAGTAGCGTGTATTCAACATCCATTTCAGAGTAAAACTCTACCTTTCTGTTCTGATAGTCCTCAGGCATGACAGTTGCTTCAATCTAATATAGAAAGAAAAAAGTGAAAAATCATTATTGCAGATCATTTCTTCATGTAAATAATCTTCACCAGATAATTGAACATTATAAAAGGAAAGAAATCAAGTGAAAGCATCTATAGGGTTAAATTTGACCAGCTACCTCTTCGTCAATTCTCTTCCATGTCCTAGACATGTCAATTACCGACTTGGAGCATATGGGACAACAATACCTGATCCATGCATATTATTAAGTCAGTTCAATGATTAAGCAAAGATATTGTTATGTAGATCAAAGAATTGTTGAATGGTTAGTTCTCACTGGTCACGCTTTATCATCTCGTGGTAACATTCAGAATGCATCGTGTGACCACATTTCATAACAGCAGTGTCTTTCAATGAGTCAAAAAGGTACTATAAAAACAAAAATGAAGTCATGTCAGAAGGAAGACCCTTTTGAATTTTTAATGTAAAAATTCTTATTTGATTGAAGAAATGAAACAAGGAAAGAGGGGAACAAAGCACGCACCTCATAGCAAATGGGACAATGATGCCTCATGGAGTTCTCCACACACAAATGATTATCACGCAGACCATTTGAATAGCAAGACCCTGTTAGTATTATTCAGCAATTGATATGTTAACGGAACAAAAAAAATTGTAACTAATGTGTGATTGATTATTAGATATGGCTCCAGATTCCAAAGGAGAAAAATTCAACAAGAGGAACTCAGAAAATTATAGCAAAAATTAAGCAAACTATAAGACATCACAGATCAATAGATAACTTTGCCATGTATTCTTTCAATTGGGAAACATAACATTGAATACTTTTGCTTTGAGGGGCCACTTTTTATTCCCCAAAATGGATTTGGGAAATTATTAACATGAATCAAACGACAGTGAGTTCCTTTGTATTACCAAGCACATGAAATAAGTAGACTTTAGCATAATAAAAATAGAGCTAAAAGTCTTATTCGCAACAAGGTTCCATTCCAACTACAACAATTTTATTTGGAAGCTACAAAGATAAGACAACAACTTTAAAACCTTAGAAATAGAATCATAATAAGTAAAGGAATATAGGGAAAAAACAGCAGAGACTGCAATGCTAGTCAATACAAAGGAGAGTTCTTGATCTTTTGGTGTCACTTACCATACAAACTCTACTGATTACTATAATTAAATTGTATGAAATGTGACCTCAGCACCTAACCGAAATAGATAAAGTGGTACCAAGTTCAAGAAAAGCAATGGAAGGAACGAATTCAAAATTAACAATTTGAAACAAACAATTTGCAGCACAACACAACTTAATTTGAAAAGGAAGAGACTATTCTTATACAACAGCAATGAAAGAGAAGCAACGGTAACGTGATAATGAATGCATACCACACTTTTTGCAGTGGAAAAAATTCTCACGACCACCAACTCTGTTCCAAAATTCATCACCAAAATTAGTAGCATGTCATAAACTTGGATGACTTAGCACATATGGGAGGATTTATTCAAACAAACAGCCAACGCACCTGCATATCCCACAATCATCACAATGAAAATGTTCTTTCCCGGTCTGCATAGTGTGTAATAGAAAACACTAGGATTAACAATCACAAGCCACAGAAGTAAACACCAAATTCCATATCTCAAACAAGTTCATCTCCAAGATACACGAAGAAACCAATGTAAAAGTAAAACAATCATTTTAATGAGACAAAATTAAAAATTTAATCATATAATACAGATTCATTCAGTGATCCCTTACCTCATCATCGAAGAATTTGCAGATGCTGCAAAAATATTCTCCCATTCTGACACCGCAGTTTGTACAAACTTGGGCAACCTTCAAAAGAAATAACAGAGGAAAACCGCTATGACCAAAAAAAGAAAGAAAAGCATACAGTTTCAAATCAAACTAGGAATGGGTATTAGATACTCACTGGCTGCTCTGTATCACAAACTGAACAAACAACCTGAAACGGCATCACAATGCAAAAACCATATCACCATCATTTCGTGTTAATGTCACAACAAGAACGAAGGCAGTGTGGAAAACGAAAATAAAGTTGGAACATTACATGTTCAACATCCTGGCGAACGAGTTCGTGACGATCAAGAGGTTTGCTCAGCATGCTCTAATGAGTCAGACCCACGTCAGATAGAAGAAAAAAGACAAGGTTTTTTAGATGAAACCCAGAAAAAAAAATGAAGGGGTAGAACATGAAATACCGTTGCCTCGTTATGACAATGACGGCAAGAGTAGAGCTCATTGCAACATGGAGCTCGAATCCTGCATCTTCTTCTGTAATGCTTGCACCTACAAAAGCCCACCAACATCATTAAAGGACAAAACTTAGTTCCTTGGATGTTGTTTGTGCTATTTTGTCATGTAAAAATTGAGCTTTACTTGGATAATCCATGTCATAAAAAGCTCAAATTAAAGAACTACACGAATTAATAAGAAAAACTTAAGTTTTGATTGACAACAATACAAACATCATCTAAGAAACTGTCTATGGGTTTTATCTGAAATGGTGAGATTCAAAACCCAATGTTAAAAATGAAAAGTAAGGGCGTGGAAGAATAAGATGAGGTACCCGTATCCCATCTTCCCAAAATCAAGACGTTCGATGACAGAACGTTCCATGAGTTTTGGGAAAGAGAAGGTGAAGAGAAGGCTGAGAAGGGGGGTTTCTGCAATTGGGAAGATTCTGCTTTTGTTGATGTTGGTTTTGGCTTGTCTAGATATTGAGAAAGAAAGAGAAAGAAGGAGTAAGTCATTGCTGTTCTTGTTATTATTAATGTTATGATACGGTGTAATTTTTTAATAAAAAAAAAGAAAAAGATTAAATCTTTGGCTAAAAAAATGGGTAAGGAATAATAAAATGTATCCACTTGGGAAGAAAGAGGATAAGATGGTGATGGTGGGAAGAATTGGAATGGCAGAAGAGAAGATGATGAGTGTCACCAATAATTAACCCAGAGAAATCTGACCGTTGGATCTACCAATGGGAAGCCAAAACCAACCATCAAAACCGTTTTATTCTGTTGTGTTGTGATGTCTCATGTTGTCTTCGGAAAAAATAACAGCAGTTGCAGTACCATGATGATACATCCAACTCAGGTATGAAATGTCAAATTCTTTTTAGTAATAAGACGTGTAATATTGGTTAATTTTTTATGAAAAATTGATTAAAAAATCAGTTTTTTAATTTATTATAACATTGGTTATAATTATCAAATATTAATAGAATAAGTTACCCAAACACATGGTGGGCAATAATAGTAAGCATCTCCATTTAAATTTTGCATTGGAACTCGATCATGGACGAAAACAATCCAAGTTCAATGCATAGATATGTAGCATGTTCTTTCCACGTAAGAAACAAATCTGTCGTAGCGTGTTGGCAAGTGATGTCACATACAAGTAGTTTTTAGACTTTGCTTTAAAAATCCAATTTTCAAGATAAAGATTCTCGTATGTTGAGAAATATTTATTGAATTAGCTAATTCAATAGACTTAGTCAATAATCAAAGTGTGATAAATATTTTGTCTAGATTTTATTGCAGGGCAAATACTAAAGCAGTTTGTAAGTGTAACCAGCTATTAAATTCTGTCGTTTTCTTGCATCAGTATATGCAAGTAGTTGTGAAGCTACAATTATAGCATACCTACAAAAAATAGCTAGTTCTGTCTCACTAATTACACCTACACAACCTACTATTTCACCACTAAACCCTAACAATAAACATCTTAAATCATCCGTATCTCTTCACATTTTTCTTATAAGAAAGATATTTCTTCTTTGTGTTTCATATTTTCTCAATCAAATCACATAAAAAGTAGGAAAAATAAACAAAGACATTTGATCATTTTAAATTGAAAATGAACATAATTAAAGTAACAAAATGATCGCATAAATTATTTTTCTATTGGATTTTTAGTTCAGTTCCTCTAACAAAATGTGGGAAAATAAGTAATAAACTATACAACTTTGGACACTGTTACTTAGTTATTATAAATAAAATTACACAAAAGTTAAGGAAAATTTATTGGATGTGCGGATGAAAGAGGATAAAAAAAAGTATAACAATCTAAATAATCCCTACACTTATTTTATAAAGTAAATATTTAAACATTGATAATTCTATGTATAAATCTAGTCACTTTCAATATGTTACGATTGAGTCTATCAAAGAAGAGATTCACCAGAAAAATACAGACACCGATGATATATGAGTCTAATCATATAAGAGATTTACACAACTTTTTACCCAAAACCTTAAAATAATGAGTTAATGAGTTTTTCATTTTTATATAGTCTTCTATTTTTTTTTATTTTTATCCAATGTGAAACTTGGACTCATAATTAAATTTCTAACAATTACATGTATCAACCCATAGACAAATATTCCTACGGTGGAAAATATATTAGGTGTTATGATTGAAAAAATAATAGAAAACACTTTAAAAAATAGTTACTCTGATGATAAAAATGAATATAAATAAATATTTTTAAAAAATCAAATATAAAATGTATAAATATTTCAGGAATATATATATATATATATATATATATATATATATATATATATATATATATATATATATATATATGTGTGTGTGTGTGTGTGTGTGTGTGTTGTGTATTACAGACAAAAGGAAAAAAAAAATGGACAATAGTGACTAGAGTGTGACAAGTTAAAATAGCTCCACACTAACTTCATATTGATAAATTTATAGTTCTCAGTGATGATTTTTTGTAACAATAAAATTAGTTGTATTTAAATAGAGAGTTGTTTGGAAGATATACGAAAAAGTTGTTTGCAAATTTAGGTTGTATATTTGATACAATAGCTAAAGTTTTTTAAAAAAAATCCAAAAGAAAAACTTAAATATGATTTTTGTAAAAACTTCTAAATGTTTTAAAAATGTGTAAACACTCCTATATCGTGTAAAGTAAGTTTTTTTCTGGTTATATTCAAATAAAATTAATTTTAAGCAAATTTATCGAAACAAAATATAATTTTTGTTATAATATCAATGAACCAACTTAAATGATTCCAAGTACATTCTTAGTTATCAATGTGATTAATTCTTTCTTAAAATACAGACATTGAAACTCGTTCAGCATCCATTAACATGATTTTAGAGAATTAAAAATCATATCCTTTTCTATTTTAAGTACCATTAATTTTGAAATTTAAAATTCTACCTAAGCCAATTGATCGTAGTGGAAAACAAAAGAATGGTCTCGAATAAAGTGTTCATAGTTGGATGGTTAAAATGTTGAACTATTTGATTTTGAGAGAACACATCTTTCATCTTTCTATCGATTATGTATTATGTACATGGGTTAATGAACATTTTTTGATTTCTTAATGGATGATCTTTTGAAAAATTAATTTGATTCGGTATATTCTTATATATTTTAAGAAATGATGTTAAAAATAATTTATATACATTTTTTCTTCAATCTTTTAATGTGTCTTCTAATGACTGAACTGTAATAAGAGTTTTAAACTCCAAATAGAAAATATCTTATATATGATCATTGATCTTAATAGAAAAATTCTTTTAGTCTTTGACTGAGAAGGCTCTTTGAGACAAAATATATAAAATTAAAGGGAATACTTGAAGCAGGAACAAAACTTATTAAAATATCAAACTTTACAAAAATTTTACTCAAAGCTTAAATTAAATTTGTAAGATCATACAACATATATATCCATCTTTTTTTTTTACTATCATCTTTAAATTCACAAAGTATACAAATAAATAATATTTTAGTCAGATACCAAAGTTTGATATTTATTTACTTCGCAATCTTTTGAGACGAATTTTGGAATGCTCACGGAACAAAGAAGTTGGGTCAAATGCAAATTATGAAAAATCTGTTTTTAGATAATTTATGAAAAACCTCAAATTAAGCATTTTATAATTTATTGAAAAAAGAAAAAGATTTAGCCTTTTATCAAATCCATTAAGCGAAAGAATTTTAAAAAGATTATTTATACCAATCAAACAAATTCACATTCAAGGCAAAATGAACTATTCATAACTGAATGTTAATATCGAATACGCACGTTTGAAGATAACACACTACGGGTTTTCACATCAATACATTTGAGTGAAGTAGCGCACATCCAAACACGAGCTTGCCATTTTTCCTCACTCTCCTCATCATTCTTTTAAACTCAATAGAAAAAATATCAAATAGCTTTTACTTTTGCTTTTAAAACTACTATCTTGAACTTTATAATTTTAGAGCGATCGAGAAAGAAAAATGTGCCATACTTGACTTTTACATGTTTATGTTGTGTTATGATTGTGATTTCGGCCAAACAAAATATAAGAGGGAAAAAGAATGAGTAAATTAAGGTGAATATGCCAAAAAAAATGTGAAGTTTAAATAAAAGTGAGAAACAGAAAATGTGTAAAATTAAACTTTGGAAACCACAATTGGTAAAAGAATTATCACCCAAATAAGGGTTGAAACTAGTGGAATTTGAAGGTGAAATTATACAATTGTCAAAGTATCAAGAATTACTAATTCTATATACAAGGATGCATATATACAAGATTCCAGGACTATACAAACTCCTTACAGCCCTAGTCAATTTCAATAGAACTGTTCAGCTGCGTGGGCCATTACGAAATCTAAAGTTTAGTGTCCCAGGGCAAACCTCTGGAGCCTATCATATGTAAGAGATATTCATAGCCAATTTCAATCGACATTGATAGGATTTTTCTGATTGTCACTCTCTCCACTCAATTTGATGAGAGGGGTAGCAGGATCTCTGTATAAGATTATGTTTCCTCTTGAATCTTTGATGCTAGCATTCTGAATAGAAGGATTCATAACAATTCTGCATGAACTAGGCTCATCTGATCCCATGTCAACGCCATAATAGACCAAGTGATCAGCAATGCTATTCCCAGCTACCGACCTGCATAAAATAGCCAAATCGGAATTGCATCGTAGCACCAAAATCAAGGGAAACTTCAATTTTATTCACACCCATCCAGTGGCAAAATTTTCATTTACGTTTTCGGCAGCATTATGACAGAGCTGATAGACTAACCTGCTGCAATTCGGATCCTCGCCAGATCCATCACAAATCTTCTCCACGCTGTATACAAGACTACCTAATCCAATGTTATAAAGCCATACCTGCAGTCCGTAACTTCTCAGCTTCTTGAACGATGAAAACAAATAAAACAAGTGCTGCCGGTTTGCATGCCCGATTGTTAATTAATACAGATATGAAAAGCATTTCCAATATTCACAAAAATATCTAATGGCGACCAAAGAACATACAACATATGACGTGGTTGTAATTTTCCATAAACATGCAGACAAACAAACATTAATTATACACACTTCATCATTTCATTATGTCATGACTTACCTCTCTAGGGAAGTGGTGGTATGTCTTCTGCGGTAAATAATAATAGTATGGAGGCAAATGCGGTACGATATCATGGTCATTTGTAACTCGGACTGTACATGGAACTAGTTCACTGTAGAGAGATGCAAAAACAGCATTTCCAACACGAGGTTGTCCAAATGTTATAACTTGGATATTTTTTTCATTTTTATTTACCTGTAAGAATGGAAAAAAAAAAAGTTACTACCCCATCCAAAAAAATAGGTAAATAATATTCCCCACTTTACTTGATCAATGTGTAATTAATGGAAAACACATCCGCAAATAACTAATTCACAAGCAACATAAAAAAATATGCACTGAACTACAACCTGTCTACAATTCCACATCACAAATATAAAAACTGTAGAGAAAAAATTAAAATCATGAATGCATATCAAAGTTAAAACTATGTTTAGACGTGTTTTAATTCCTACCAATGGGGACTATACTAGAATTATACACGAACCAAAAGTAGCATTAATCAATCTGACTAGTCAACAAAATTCTTCAATGTAACTGAATCAGTACAATAGTTTAGCTTGTATTAATCCGTTTGATTAATTCAGTTCAAAAACCACCTTCTAATCCATCAATCACTTAAATGATTAAAGAAAATAACTCCTTTTCGTCAAAATTCTACAGCTAGAAGGGTAACACAGAACAGAATCAAATGATTACAGTGTAATTTATCAAAATGCAAAATTTTCAAAAAGGTCAGTTTTACAGCAAAGCCTCCATGCCTATAATGGTTTCTCCAGAAGCTTTAAGGCTTTTAACTCCTCGTAGTATCTTCACTTGATCTCCTTTTATAAATTATTTTAATTAGAGTTTTTGCTGGCCTTCTTCTCAAATGATCAAATTAGTAATATCTAACGAAAGTTTGTCATTTTCTCATCAAAAGATAATTGCTCCAATATTATTGATCCAAAACATTAATAAATTGGCAAGCTTTTAAATTAACTACCGAATGCATAATATAACACTCCACTTTTACCCAAGCCTAGAACCAGCTATATAAATTTTAAAATTAAAAAATAAAAAGCTTTCCAAATATGATAATTCTACAAGAAATTCAAGTCCGTGCCAGAGGTAAAATTTAGACAACAATACCGGTGAAAAAAATTGAAAGGGGATTGAGACCACAAAAGCTTGGTGTATGGTGCCAAGAAAGCTAAATTATAATTACCGTCAAATCAAGACCACAAAATGAAGCCATTGCCCCTCCCATTGAATGCCCTGTTACTATAATTTGAATGTCTCCATAAAACTTCTTTGCCCTTTCTATAGCATCCAAAATTGCAGGACGTATTGTTGTGTTGTGGTATGCAGTGTAAAAACCACGATGTACCTGTACACAGTTATAAAAATATATCAAAACTAACACAATACAGAGTATTACACGGGGAAAACATTTACACACCATTGCATCATCCATGCCAGGATAATTTATATCATGCTGCTTCCAGTATAAATCTTCAATCCAATTCTGCAAGCTGTATAAAAGTGGTTACAAAGAAATCAGTTCAAAATAACTGGGGTCGTCTCAAAAGTGAGCCAAACAGCTGAAGGACTTGGAACTATTTTCTATCTTACATATTTATGGCCATATTTTTCGCTGTAGGAAAATTATTGGCTTTCTCTTTAGATGAACTATGCACTCTAATACTCTCAAAGATCAACAACATAAGAGAACGTATGTTCTCTTAAGAAACAAAAATCTATATTTACAGGCTATCAAACATACCAAGCATTTTTTTTTTCACATATTATGCTGACTTTCCCAAACATAAATATGAGACCATAAGTAACTTTAGAAACAGCAATCTATAATGTACAAGGTCTCGAACAATATTGGTCATATGGAGGGCCATCTACAGTATTTCAAAACTAAACAATGTTGCTACACATAAATATCAAAACAAAACCACCTTATGCTTTCGTTATTGTAGACACCATTGTGCTAATAATACATTGCACGTGCGGTAAATAAATCAAGTTAAATGCATTTTCTTATGTAACAACTACATATGCATCCATGTACTCAGATCAGCATATATGAGCATTACAGAAAATTCACACTTACAAGAAAAAAAAAATCTTGTTTCTAAAACATAACAGCATCTGTGTCTAGGCATCACATATAACATTGCACAATTATAGATCCATTTTTCTGCTGCCTCTACAGTTGTGGGCCCAAAATTCCATAGAAGTAAATTTAATCTGGTAAGAAAGTCCACCTGTGTTCATTTGTTCCTCTGAATGCAATGATGATGGCATGAGGATCCTCGGCCACTCCAACAAATGCCTACAATAGGTAGTGAAAATTATATAAAAGCAAAGTATATTAGAACAAAACTTTGGAATATTTTTTTCTACAATGAGACTTCACCCACCTGTAAGCAATGCTCCACATCAACAACTAACTCTATCATCTCAAATCCCTGTTTCCATTTTAAAGATCTTTAGACCAAATAATTTAAACGAACGCACAGATTAGTAGGACACTAGAGCATAAATAATTCAAAGTATCCACGACGTAAGTGAACATGTGCAGTTAAAATGATTATTCATACTATCAGCACCTTGGTCAAGCCATCACACCTGTCGCACGTCCATGTAAAAAGTTCCGTTAAATCTGACAAGTATACCTGCAAGAACCAAACCTACATCAGCCCTTTATATAGTTCATACAGAAATCCCAAAGCACAAAAACACATTGGCTAATGCGTATAACGTCAGATTCACTACATCAGGCAACAAAAATTAGCTAAACTCTAAGTTTTTATGATACACTGCAATAAGTCACACTTTGACCTATTTTGATCATAGCCTGACCAAGATGGGGAGTATCTCCATCAAGATCGACACCTCAATTCTTTGTTCTGCAAAGCAGATACGAATTCATTGAGTCTTTTTATCAATAAAAGAAAGTAGCTGAATTAAAGCCGTCTCGAATACTTGTGAATTCAAATTTTTTATAAGGAATGACAAATCCATAGCAGACTTATAATTAGAGCAATAATACACAATACTGGTCTAAAACCACTTGAAGAGAGAGATGGAGTTGAAACACGAAAGCTTAATCACAATACCAGTTCCAAAAGCCCTGACTAACCCTCCAATTCCGTCAAAAAATTAAAAAACAAATAATACATGCTACCAATTATAAATGCTCTGCCAACATACATCTTAAAGTCTGAACATGTATAATTCCCAAAGAAGTAAAACTCACCGCAGAAGCATATTCCACTAATATTGTAGCAAGAGTGTGATTGTATTCGTAAGGATGATTTTTATGCCTGGTCTTTAGCCCTGCAAATAGAAAGGAATTTGCATAATTGCACTACAGACGTGAATGATCCACAATACACACAAAACTAAACAATTAAATGAATTTAAAGACAGCAAAAAGACACAAGAAAAACAATATCGTAAACCCTACAATAACATTAACACACGAGTCAACTCCTACCTCTGCCGTTAGAGAATGCACACAAATACAAAAGGATAACCAATATCAACCACCTGGTTTTCCCCATATACTCTGCAATTGAAGTACAGAAAAGTAAATTCCCCACAAAAAAAGAAGACCAATAGCAACAGAAATGAGAGGACATAATTAGCGATATGTGCCAGAATAACGGCGAAAGTAAGGGCGAAATTGAATAGCTGAATACATGTCTGAGAGCAGCGCGGTGGAACGGGAATCGGAATCGCAAACCTCAAAGGCTGAGGTGAGGTTTCCGATGACAGGCTTTTCTCCAGGGAAAATGTGCGTTTGGAGAGAAGATGAAATAGAAAAGAAAATAAATAAAAGAGAAAGAAATAGCACGACAGCCGTAAGGTTCGTTTAGTCTTTTTCGTGTCGTACGGGAACAGTCTGTTCTGACTGCGCTGGATTAGATTGGATCCATGGATGTTATTTTGCTGTGAGTTGTTTTAATTTTAAACGGATAACCTGATTTATAAAAATAATAATATAATACACTACATTAATTTTATTTTATTTACACTTATTAATAATATATCCTCTTCATCATAGTAGTATATAGGTTATTTGCAGTTCATTATTTTCTTCATTTATTACTCTTATTCTTTTACACACTCTGTTTACTAATTAACTATTGTTGTAAGAAATTTATACTCTTATGTTTAAATATGTTAGATATTTAAATAAATAACTACAAACATATTATAAAGTAGTTTGAGTAATATATATAAAGGATATTTATCATTTTAGTGTCCATATTTATTCATCAAATTTACTCTTTAGATAATTTCTTTTAAATTAAAATAATTATTTTACCAATATTACTTTTTAAGTTAACTTTTTCTTAGTTTAATTTTTCAATTTGCTTGTTTTAATTGAAAAATTATCTATAAAATAAATAAATAAAATTCTCTTTTTAGTGTGCATATTTGTTTTTCAAATTTATCGATAAATAATTTTTTTAAAATTAAACTATTATTTTATCAATTTTTTAATTTTTTAAAATTTAATGGTTTGACAATTTTTTAAAACTTAATATTTTTAATTATAAAACAACCTTTAGAATAAATAAAAACTATTTGTAATAAAGTATAAAAATTATTTAAATTTAATTTCACAATTATATTAATAACAATTTTATCATTTTTATTATCAAAAAAATAACACTAAGAGAATGTAATTGGAAAGATAAAACATGAGATAATTTTGATAGAAAAAAAATTGATTATATGATTAAGTGATGGTTTAATCATATACATGTTTAATAAAAAAATTATATAAACATGTAATATACTAATATAAACTTTATATAAAATTAAAGAAAACATAAGGTTTTCTCCACCAAAAAAATTTCTTAATATTTTTTTTCTGGTATTTCCGCTAAAAGGTGTATCGGAATACAATCACACAGGAGAGTTAGTAAATTTAAAAAGTAGTAACTTAATTAAATTAAATAAACTTACTACTAAAAACAAATTATATTTATTGTGAAATAAGGAAGTTCATTGTCATCTATATTTCACACAAAAGTCTATCCTGCACTTAATGTATGATATATATGTTTTTCACTCAATGCACACATAATTTTCAAGTAAAAGACAACAATACTGTATCATACACCAAACCAACCATACCTCATCACTTAAATTCAAACAAGTTACATGATTCTGTTTTTAATTTTTAAGCATCACACTCACACAAATATGTTTTTTAAAATGATTATTTATTCTATTATGTCGTTGTCGAATGATATTTAATTTAGTATATGATTTGTGTCTAAAGTTGTATGAGAATTCATCCTATTTTAAATTTTTTTGTTTTAATTTTTTAAACCAAAAATTAAATTTTGTTGTGTTTTAACTTTCCTATTTTAAATTGTGTCATTGTTTAATTACTTTTGTCAGTTTGGTTACAACTAATTATTTTTAATTGAAATATGATAAATTGTTATTTTAAATTATTTGCATAGCCTAACATTACATTTACCTCTTCAACAATGGTTCAAATAATGTATAGTAACAGACTATTTTCTATTGGTTAACTTATAATGATATCTCTTAATTTGTAGGTTTTATACAAATCTCATTTTTGTTTTAAAAATATATATTTTTATTAATGCACTCTTTAAATGTTAAATATTACAATTATACTCTTTAAATTTTAAAAATATTATAAAAGTTTCAATGAAGGAGACCATTATGGTGAAAAAATGAAAATATAATTATAATTTGTAAAAAATATTAATATTAATATTAAAAAGCGTTTTTACTTAATTTTTCAAAGAACAAACATAGTGTCATCCCATTTTTTAACAGGCTTCATACTTTGGGCCTAGGTAGTTGGGCCTGAGCGGCAAAGTCCATTTTGATATCAATGGCGGGAAATTTCCCATTCCTCTTCCATGTGGTAACCGCACATTTACGCTTAATCGAACGGCTACAAACCCCGCAACCACCTACTTTCCCCAATTTTACAACTACACTGCGACTTCAAACTTGGAATCCTCTTTCAATTTATCTATCCATCAAACCCTTGTTCTCGATTTCGAAATCCATGGCGAGACCTTCCAAGCCCCACTCATCTTCGGACGAAGCACTCTCCAATGCTTCGAGTTCATCCGAGGAAAAGGAGCTGGTCAACGAGCAGATCAACGAAGAGGAAGATGAGGAGGAGCTTGAGGCGGTGGCCCGCTCTGCCCGCTCTGCCAGTTCTGACGACGATGACGATGAAGGTGCCGCTGGTAATCCTCCGGATTCTGACGAAGATCCAGCTGGGGATGATGACCAGGTCAAACTCCATTTACTATGTTGTTCGTAGTTTGTAGCTCTTACTCCTTCTGCTTCATTCCTCTTTGTTCACACTTTAGTTGCTTCGGAAACTGTTGTCTGCATTTCAAATTGTGCGTTTACTTGTCTCGGTGAAAATGCTGTGCATGCTGGAGAACTAGAGTGAGAAGGATATGCTCGCGAATTTAACTTGCTTTTGGTTGTTTTGTATGTGAGTTTTTTGTTCAACCAAGAGTTTAAGGACAAACCTAAGCATTTGTTGTCTGACTTCAGGATGAGGATAATGTTGATCCGGCAATTAGCAAGCGAGAGAAGACTAGATTAAAGGAAATGCAGAAAATGAAGAAACAGAAAATCCAGGAGATACTGGATGCACAAAATGCGGCCATAGATGCTGACATGGTAAGTCGAGTTCTGTGATAATCCAACTTCTGTTTGTATAATGCTATATTGGTATGATTAGTAAATGAACTGACATATAATATAATGCAGAATAATAGAGGAAAGGGGCGGCTGAAGTATCTTTTGCAGCAGACTGAGCTGTTTGCTCATTTTGCAAAAGGTGATCAAAGTTCTTCTCAAAAGTCAAGGGGAAGGTATGTTCCTAAAATTCATGTGAACCAGGCCATGAAAATTACTCCCCTCCTTTCCCTTTGCTCTTGCTCTGAATTTTATTATATCTGGCTTCTTGGTGATACCATAAATTATGACTTCAAAAGTAAGGTAGTCAAAATAGAAAGGGAGACTCACAAAGTCGTAAGTCCTGGAATCTTAACACAGGTAGTATGATCTTATAAAACAGCATAGAAAAAAAAAGAAAAAAAATACACTTTAAACAATTAATCTTAAGTCCATTATAAGCGTAAAAAAGAAAGCACCGTAACCAAGTCATAAATAACTAATAAGTCACAACTCATAATTCATGAAGTCATAACTAACAAAGCAAAACAACTTAAATGCCTAATTACTTAAGAGAATACTGACCATGAACTCAACTAGATGAGTAAAGCGGAAACCTCAAACTCTGGTATAAATCTTTCAAATTATCATTAAAAATCAAGGGATCATCATTTGCTCCGCACCATCTTCTTCACAATGAACCTCAGTAAGAACATCCTTGACCAGTTTGTTGGAGATCCCACATTGGTTATAGATCATCCACTTGGTCTCCAACTTGAGATGGAGCTTGAGCTTGAATCAAGTCTTTCATCATCATTTGAATTTGGAGTATTGTTTTAACCATCATTGTCATCCTCTGGATCACCCTTTTCCATGATTCACTCATCATCGAATGGAAGATCTTGTTGCCCAATTTGGAACTAACCGTGACAAATACATCATTCATAATATCCTGTTTTGAACAATCTGTTCTCTTCGCATGGACCTAATTAATTCAAATGCAAACATATGAACAAATTCTAGTAATTTTAAAATATTACCATCTCAGATTCAAACCAATTATGCTCTCATCCAGAGGAGCTGCATGTTAAAACTGAGAATGCGTGTGACAAACACTTGAAGTTCTTTATTTTCATCTCCATATGACTCCCTCCAAACTGCTACTCTTCTTCTCAATTGCATTGGCAGCCAAGGGATTACCAAACAGCTTGTTTTAGTTCTTAAAATCTTCAAGCTGCTTATCAATTGAATGGTGTTTCTCGGGATCAACCACCATCCTTTGTATACATTGCAATAGGCCAATAAGTTCTGTATTACTTTGAAATTGGGAGCATAGTGCAATTCAGGATTGAGAAAATAGCCTACTATGTGCAAAGACCCATGGAGCTGGCTGTCCCACCTTTCATCAATAGTATTCCATTCATCTTCATATCTAAAAGTAGAAGAATAATTTAAATTACAGTTCACTAATTCACCTCCCTCTATTAATTGAAGAATACTTTAAATTAGAATAATAGGTACCTTAACACTATTAAAATCTGTTTTCATCCTTAGCTTGGTCCATTGCCTTATAGATGAAACCATGACTGGTTACCCTTTTGAATCAACCATTCTTAGCCCTTGAATTAAAGGGAAGGCACCCTTCAAACAAATGACAATATTCTTCCAAAAATATTTAGGCAAAACCACATCCTCAATTGATTTTCCATCCCTTGTTCTTGTAAAACGACCATCATTCCATTCATCACTTGCAAGCATTATAATTAAAAGGCTGCTATTCTCATTAAGACCTCAACAAATCTCATCCATTTTAAAGTGTTGCTGCAGAGGAAAGCAGAGAGGTTGTAGAACAAATATAAGTATTAATTTGTTTACCTTTTGGGATTGTCAATTGATGAACACATATCTTCTCTCAAATCTTTTAGCATCAAATTAACATAGTGTGATGCATGTGGGTCCAATCGAGCTTCTTTCGTTCTTCATCACTATCTCACCAATAGCTTTATAATTGGCTTTATTGTCCATCGTAATTTGAACAATGTTCTCTTCACCAAACTCTTCAACAATGTTTTCCATCATTTTTAAATAACTTATCAGTTGTTTGAAATGACAAACGTATCAATAGATTTCAGCAAGACAATTTCATTCAGTCCACCCATCAGTCATTAATGATGCAACTTGTTTTATTATCATGCATTTTTGTAAACTTCCGAAGCACTCTTTGTTGCC